AGCATATTTTGATATCAACTATATATCAAATAAAAGAAAACTAGATCAATCATCTTCACGAGCTTTACATAAATTTGTAGCTAGTAAATCAATCATTTTCAACTAGCAAATCAATCCTTCTCCATAAAAAGTCAAGACTTGAAAATAATTCCTTGACTTAAGCCTATATTATTTGTTGATAGATTTCTAGGTTCATCTTCTTAATTAGCTCTATATATTTTACAATTCCATATTTTTAAAGTTTTTTTTTTTCTTCATACATGTACACATTATGAGATATTTCAATCCCTTCCCTCGTGCATTTGACTATGGTCATAAATGAACATATAGATAAACAACGAGAATAACATCTTGATCTTTTTATTTCTTTAATTTTTTTAAAAATAATTATAATGTAAATTTTGATTTTTTTTAAGTTTTGATTTTTTTAACTTTATGTAAATCAAAAATAAAAATTAGTACCTAATAGAGTATTTTTCGGGCATTATACTCTGGATATATTATGGGTATCACATTTGTACAATATTGTAATTTTATTTTGCTTTTTATTGTTGTTATGAAAAAACAATAAGTGATATGCATGAATGTATTGATGATAGATGTTTTTTAGTTAAAATCGTACTGATATAATTATATTAAGGTCATATTTAATCGTCATTGTATTCTTATTTGTAAAACATGATCTTGACTAAAGGATTATTGATTAACTAAATATGTTATAAATTATATTACCACTACAAAACAATAAAGAAATGTATAAAAATATATATAGAAATAAAAGTAAAAATTATAAGTTTTTTAATAAAAGAAACCCAAATGATTCTAGGCATTTAAATGATAGAGGCACCACAATTCTAAAAGATAAGGCAAACCAGCTTTGTCACCCCTAAAATGAATTACATATTTTATGACAAAGACATGTTTACTTCCTTTATCCTTTCAATCCGCAATGGTAAAATGATACCATTTTTCTTAGTTTGAAGTACTAATTGATATTTATTGTTAATAACGACAATACAATAAAAAATCCAAATTAATGTTTAACTAAATTAAAAAATAAAAATAAAAACAACGTATTTTGCATTCAACATTAAAATAATTCTCTATTTATTGATCATGAGGTTAAATTTTTTAACTTATATATCAATTAAAATTATTTTCCATCTAGTAGTTAAAAATAAGATGTCATATTTAAAGGAAAATTATTTATGGTACCACAATAATATTATCGATATGGTCCCGTAAGTCAATACACGAATTGTCACGTAGTTATTGTATTTAATAATTAGTGTTAATATAAGGTGGTAATGAGATTGATAATTATCAAATATAATAATTACGTGAAATTCATGTATTAACTTGTGTTACAATATCAATAATATAATACTACGTACATATAATATTATAGATTTTCTACTAAATCATATATATATGTTAAAATAATAAATTGCACGAATTTTAAACTGTTTAACAATTTAAGTTAAAGATTCTAATTACCCTTTAACAATGTGTGATTTATGTATCTCCAATGGACATGTAATTAATACAAAGGATCATAAATTAAGATCCCAAGAGGCTAGACTAGTGGTTAAAGAGGTTTGCATTATTTTTGAGTTCTTAGGTTCAAAATTGGGGTCATTATCACATAATTTATGAATTACTTGGTCATTTGGGTTTGTATGTATTCAATAGACGTCGATAATTGTTAAGGTGTGCGCAATTGGCTTGGAACACTGGTATAGAAAAAAAAAAAAATCATAAATTAGAGTTTTAAAATAGTAGTGTACATAAGTGTCCAACTTGATCTAATTATAGGTTTTTACAATAATAGAAATTGATTAGATGAAATAAATGTTAAAAGTACTTAAATGATATAAAAAAAAACACGGTGAAGAAAGTGATAGAGAAGTAGTGCGAAACTCATATAAATAATGAAGTGGGAATCTTGAAATAAGTAAGGCCACATAAATGTCACATGTGTTGTATAAACAACACGGCAATTTTGGTGGGACACCGTCACATGTGTTTCGACAGTAACCTTTAGATAACGCCAACACTCATCTAATTCTCCATCCCTCACTGAATCATACACTGCAACGCGTTTTTACTATTTTGTCTGTTTTTACAAAAACAGGAAATTATAATTTATAAAATTAAAATTAAAAATAGAAATTTATTTAATAACTTTTTTTTTATATGAATTGAGAAATAATTCTTTTGTAAATGTTTTTATTAAGAAATTTTGGTATTCATTAGACCAAATTACTCTTTATCTGATTAAAAATATTTATCGGTTGTTGTCACGACCGAGGACTATCTTTTTTCTTGCCACTTTCGGGCTTAAGAGCTTTCTCCGCATATCAGACACGTCCAATGTATTATTTGTTATGGGTCCTTCTAGCCACGCCTCATTCACACTCACGACTTTGTTTAGTTTCGTGGTCCCTTTACCTTGTGAACGCCTCTTATGACTTAAACATTAGACTTATACCTTGACAAAGTAACATGAGAGCCGAAGAAGACGTGGTCAGAAGGGCCTATAATAGACAATACCTTGGACGTGTTCGACGCGCGGAGAAAACCCTCGAGCCCGAAGGTGACAAGATAAAGCATAATCCTCGGTCATGACAATTGTCTATTGAGCACTTTAGTTTTTCAGTTAAAGAAATGATAATTTTGGTCTATTTATATTTATCAATTGAAACTTTAAAATGAGTTATTCAATATAAATTTTCAAAAAAAAAAAAAAATAGAGGTAAATTATTTAATATATGATTTTTTCTTTAACTTAAAAAACAAGGTAGTGTATTATTGATTTGAGAAGATTTTGTTTTTATAAACTTTCCAAAAGATGAAAAGAGAACACAAATTCTAATATGCAAAAAACTAAAAAAAAAAAAAGGAAAAAAGATTATTAGTCCCTAAACTAATAATCAAGAAAAATAAATTAAAAAATTAAACTATGTTTTAGAAACATTTTCAGTTTATTTTTTTATTTTTAATATATTTTTCTTCATTATTTGTTTAAGTGCTTCTATTTCTTTTTTATAATTTTTTTTTCTGTCAAAGTTAATTGTAATTAACAAAATTTTAATGGTATTTTTCAAACTTGTGTTTTTTAAGGATAAATTTCTATAAAAATTGTTCCGAAAATGATAACAATTTCTTCAAAAACTTTAAAAATATGGTCAAGAAATTAAAAAGAAATTCTAAAATAATTTCTTATGTATCCTAATAAAGCATTTGTTTATAACATTATCGAGTTTTAAGAATTGTTTGAATTACATAACTCTCAATTCATGTAATCCCAATAATTATGTGAGAGTTAATTAAAATCTTGTTATTCCTTAAAACTTTGACTTAAAATAAGAAAAACTCTCAATCATTCATCTATTTCCATGAGTGAGAGTAAAAAAATGATATTTAATGTTGCATATTTAATAATTATTTGTAAAATATATTATCATAAATAATAGATTAAAACATTTGGCCATCTATCACAATAAAATTGTGATTTATCTGATTTTTTGAATTTATATTATGTTTAATAGATTTTAAAGATTAATTGAGTTATGTATAAACTAATTTAGAAATCTTACTTACCAAAAAATTTATATCTTATTATAAATTACACTAATATATCTTAAACTATCAATTCATCGTAGATGACTACTAAAATGTCCCATAAATTATTATACTTTTGATCCTATAAAATATTTTATATTTTCTATAAATTATAGAGCACAGATCCGTGCACCATTCTAAAGAAACCCAATATCGATGAAGTGGAATTGTAAATTAAAAAAAAAAATCATTTGAAATATATAAAAAATAATATTCTTGAAATTTAATTTTAAAACCTTTCAATTAATATAGACTTCTTAAATATTTTATATTTTTAAATTAAATCCAATCTTTTTAATTATATTTATGTCACGTCAATTTATGCTCAAAGAGTCAAAGTTTCTAAATAACAAATTTTTAAATAACTAACGGAAACTAAAAGCGGACACGCGGCAGAGGCAAACAGAAAGGAAATTAGTTTCCAGTCGGGTCCTCAGGTGCTCTGTATCATCATGAATGGAATATAAGGTCAATATTGTCATTTCAGATAAACTGCCTGACAGCTTGCGCGCCAATGTTCCCGGTTCCCTCTCTCTTAATCTTGAAAGATAATATAATCAATTATTTAATTAAGATAATCAATTCATTAATTCCTAGACAATAATAAACACCATAATAATTAATTTTTGCCTCTACCGATAGGATAACATTATGAGATCAATTTTCTTTTTATTTCTTAATTTTACCCACAAAATCTTATTAAAAAAATATATTTAATTTTTAAAGTCAATGAAAGAGTTGACTTTCGATACCATGGCATGTTTTACATTTACAATATTTGGAAATTTTTTCTCATTGTAAATTTCTACCCACAAAATCACAAATATATATTTTAAAAATTAAAAAAATTCAAAACCGTGTAAGGCATATTTAAGAATAATGGATTAAAAAAAAAATTAGTATCTTGGATATTTAGATTTTTAATTTAATGTTAATTTTATAAAATAGTTTATTTATTTATTTTTCAAATATTAAATTATATAAATTGTTTTATAGTCCATTTGGTTGCACTTATTTACTTGCTAAGATGGTTGTTTAAAATCAAAATTTTTGTGGATTGTATGTAATTTTTTTTTAAATTTTATTTAAAATCCATTTTAATTTATGAAAATTTTTATATTTACCATATTAATAGTTGAATTAACTCTACTTTAATAAATTTTAGTGTGAAATTATAATACTACCCCTTAAATTAGTAATCCATTAATCTAAAAATAAAGTAGAGAGGGAATAATATAATAATAGAAAAATACACAATAATTAAATGATGCAACTTCATAATTAATAATGATTTCCACATGAATATGACTCCATCATCTTCGGCTTTCTGTCTGTAATTAAAAATAATTTTCTTTTCTTTTTTTCTAAATAAAAAAACCCTAACTACCTTCTCACTCTTTCACTCACTGATCTCTTCACTCTCAATCAACTACAATCAACTTTCCCTTCTCTCTCTCTCTTTAAAGCCTTCCAAAATCCAAATCCAAATGTGATTCCCTAGATCTCTCTCTCCCTCTCTCTCTTTTCTTTCTCTCCACCGAAACGCCTCATGCCATTGTCGTTTTACTTGATCCGCCCTTCTCGCTAGCTTTTCCTTCATTCGTTTTCGCCTCTCGGTGAGTTCATTTGCTTTTATTAATATTTATTATTGTAGCTTTCATTCTTGCTTTTGCTTTTTTCTGATCTTTATTTTATTCGCTTTCTCAATCTGAATGCTTCTCTTCGTCATTTATTCTTTTCTTCAGTCCTCGTTCAAAGCAGCTCAATTTTTTCTTTCATTATTATTATTATTATTATTATTTTTACTTTTTAAAGTGATTCGAGCTACTTTACTTATAGTTTAACAACTTCAGTTTATAGTCTTTCAGCAATCTGATTTTGTTTCTGGTGAGTTCAGAAAATCAAGAATTTTTTATTTTTTCTTATTACTTGATCAAGTGGCGGAAAATCAGTATTTCTGATATGATTATTGGCTTATATATTTTTGTTTGTTTGTGACTGTGATGAACAGATCTCGTGGACGGCTGAGATTGGCTGTTGTTGTTGTCGATCATTGGAGATGAGGGCGATAGAGTTAATTATGTGCATAAATATATTTATGTTATTCTCTGTTTTGATTATTGCGAGAGCGGAGGTTTATATCGTGACGGTTGAAGGGGAGCCTATTATAAGTTACAAAGGCGGCGAGAATGGTTTCGAAGCCACTGCCGTGGAATCTGATGAGAAAATAGACCGGACCAGGTACCCTATACCATTATCATCACTTGAAGTTTTTGTTGTTATTGTCATTTTGCATATGCTAACCAGCTTGAAATGTCGGGAACTTTTTAATAATTCATGGAATTTTTAATGAAGATTGTAGCTTTTCTTAGTGGGGTCTTGTTTTGTGAGATCTTTGTGCTGAAAATGATGTTTTTGGAGATAATATACAGTGTTGGGCCTTGTCTAATCTTGGATTGACTTTATGGAGTTTTCAATAGTGTCAAATTTTTGTCTTGGCAAGCTCTAACTAGGCGTGAAAATAATTAGAAACCGGGTGTTACGGAGTTGGGGGGAGACCTTTCCTTGTCCACTTTGAACATCAGCCTCTGTAGACAGCTCTGGATAAATGTTTAATTGTCATAACAAGTTAGTTGCTTATTGATAATTGGATAACTCTTTATGTTTCCTAATTTATGTAGTGGTATTTTTTTTTTTTTTTTTTTTTTTTTTAAAACCGATCTACCAAATGCACTATTATTTTTGCTGTTGTCTTCTAGTGTGTAGACACTCATGAGCTCTGTTTTCTCAAATTATAGCGAGGTTTTGTTGTAAAATCTTCAAATTATTGTGATGGTTTTAAGTGAATGCTTTCTGAATAACTGAAACAACTAGAAATTGCCTTTTTTTTTTATTTTTTTATTTTGTAAAATAGGTTGGCACCTCTACAAGAGTATACATATAATTATGTGGCCATAAACCAGGGACTACACATAGTATTTTTTTCCCTCCAAAATCTTAAAATGCATTATCATGTGTCTTGTAATCTTTGCTGGGTGAATTTCCACTCATCATCAGGGGCAGTTTGAGGTTTTTTTTCTTTTTTTTGGGTGGCAGGTGGGAATAAATTTTTCTCATTTCACTTATTTTTTTAATTTTCTCATTAAATATATTGTCACTCATAACATGGAAATTTAGAAAAAAAAAAAGGAAAATTCAACATTGATGTCTCTCAGAGTGTACCTGCCTTTATTTGAAAGATGAATGATTTATTATAAAATATGAATCAAAATTTTTAGGCATCTCACTCCCAATCAATCATTAAAGTTAACTATTGAATTTATTGCTTTTATTGAAATTAAGGTGAAATTTATATGTATATCATTTATAGAAACATATAATAGCAGGTTTATAGTTTACGTTCTAATTCAAATTCCTGATGACTTTTGACAACAAAATCTTATCTAATTCAGTAATAACATTTTACAACATGTAGTAATAAATTATAATAAATATGTTTAATGTATGTGATATTTTCTTTAAGATTTAGGTTTAGTTGGAGCAAAATGGTGTTTTCCTAAGGAGACTGGGGAAAGGAGCTACAACTGAGAATCATCAAAAGTTTTGTAGTTTTTGATGGGTAATGCAAGAGTAGTACTAAGTTTACAATTTAAATAAACTTCATTGTGTAAACTAATGTGGCTAAGGACTGAGCCCCTGGGGGCGAGTGGGGGTCATGCCCCCACTGAGCTTGGAAAAATTTCGGTTAAACCCTTCTATTCTGTGTTTCAGCATTAGCATTCCTTTATTTATTTCATCAAAATAGCCTGAATCCCAGCACTGTTGCCACTTTTACTTTATTTGGTTTTTTAGAAATCTCAAATATATTTTAATTTTGTTTCTTTATTTTGTTGATCTAGTGAATAGAGTACACCAACAAAAATGTTTATATATATTATGATTCTCAAATTACTTTTTCTCTCTTTTGACCTAATTTATCTTTATCTATTCAAAATTGTAGTATGAATTCTTACTTCAATTCATAAATAAGATATTTTGGGTTATGTTCATTTTCTAAGAATTAAGCATAAAATAAAATTTTGTGATTGATGGATTAATGATAATTTCATTGCACATATACTGATTTGAGAGTATTTTTATAGTAAAGAGCTTTTTGGGAAAAGAAAAAAAAAGTTTGAAAGCTATTTTGATAACCTATGTCATATGGTAATACATATCTAGTATATTTTAAAACAGCACTTTTATTTTTATTTTTGAAAAACATTTTTGTAATTAATCTTTGAAAAACATTTTTGTAATTAATCAAACACATAAAATAAATACAAAATTATTGTGTATGAAAATTCATTAATGAGGTTTGATGTATTATAGAGTCAAACTTTCATGTTTCCTATTAATAATTTTTTACTATTTTAATTATTTTTTCTTTGAGTTGTCCCCATTAAAATAAAATCCTGGCTTTATTGCTGAAGGTGACAATGTTGTATCATTGCTAGTGATAGATAAAATTGATGATATGTTATTGTGTATAGAGCCACATCAATTTATAAAGCTGAGATTGTATATTTTAACTATGTAATATTACTCAAAAACCAATGGGTAGACTACACAGGTATTTGGAAAGGGATTTAACTTGTTTATTTTATTATATTTTGTTTTTTACAAGACACATGGTCTATATATATAGTGTCAAATCGATTTATATAGTTGAGATTGTTATTTAACTTGTAAATATAATATTACTCTAAAAAAAGGGGAAGATTAGATAGATATTGGAAAGGGATTTAACTTTGAGTTTTAAAATTTTATTTTATTAGGTTTTTAACAATACATATGTGTCTATATATATATATATATATATATAGACACACACACACACACACGCAAGATCCACCCCTGTTTATCATCAGCTGGATTTTGGTATCAAGTTGGATAACAAGGGTGTTGCTCCACATTCACTGTGTATATGTTGAATTTTCTTTATTAAATTGTTAATCTTGTTATTTAAGAGTGGGGGTGCTGTTTCATAATGTCCTGTATCACATACAGCCTTGACATCGTAATCTTTCTTCTTTCTGAAATAAACAAGTGGATAGTAAATTGTAAATTTTCTTTATTACTCACTCACCCTCATCCTCATCCATGCTTCTTTCAGTGAATTTGTGACATCCTATGCCAGTCATCTTGAAAAGAAACATGATATGCTTCTTGGGTTGCTTTTTGAGCATGGGACTTACAAAAAGCTCTACAGCTATAAGCATCTTATAAACGGCTTTGCCGTTCACACTTCTCCTGAACAGGTGAAAACTTTGGAATACACATTCTTGTACTTTCTTCTTTCAAATCCTGAATTAAATAGCTCTAAACAGTTTAATGGTTATGTATATTCTTTCATCTTGCAATCTCATTCCTTTAACATTATCTCACTGTATTATTAGGCAGAAATCCTACGACGTGCCCCTGGTGTGAAATCTGTGGAAAGAGATTGGAAGGTAAGGAAACTTACGACACACACTCCCCAGTTTTTGGGGCTACCGACTGGAGTATGGCCAACCGGAGGTGGCTTTGATAGGGCTGGTGAAGATATTGTGATAGGATTTGTAGATTCTGGAATTTATCCTCACCATCCGAGTTTTGCAACTCACAATACTGAACCATATGGGCCTGTGCCAAAGTACAGAGGAAAATGTGAAGTTGATCCTGATACTAAGAAGGACTTCTGCAATGGAAAAATCATTGGTGCTCAACATTTTGCTGAAGCTGCAATAGCAGCTAAGGCATTCAATCCTGCTATTGATTTTGCTTCTCCCATGGATGGTGATGGACATGGGAGGTTAGATGCCTTACTGTTCATCAATGTCAATTTCAATGGATACTGTGCTACGTTGCATTTGTGTTCATTTTATTCGACTCCAAGTTTTCATTTACAGTAGATTTGTGTGACATGAATACTAAATTGCGATTTTTTAAAATAGTCAATTCTTTTTTCTTATGATATTTTCATGCTGCACGTATTGGGTTGTATCTGCCATATATTAGTTCGCAACAGCTTTATCTCTTGATCGGAAGTTGTTCAAGTTGAATATATATTTTTGGTACTTAGTTTTGTGTGCACTTGAAAAATCTTAGTTGAAGGGGCCATTCAATCATTCCAATTAGTTAGGCAGGGGGTACAGACAGCGGGTTAGGGAACAAAGTTAACTTCAGAAGCTAAAAAACGAGAACATTTTCTTCTTGCGTTTCTTTCCTAAAATGTTCTTTTGAAAGCCTTGGATTGAAAGTAATATGTTCTTTGATTAGTTGCTGTAGTGTAATGTCATTACTATTCCTGTTAAAAAAAAAAATAAAAAATGTTAAGACTGATTTTAAAGACATGGTGCAAAACTGACAGCTGTTGTTTCTTTTTATGAACTTTGAGCAAGTGTGTTAAATTATGTCATTTACCATTCTTTGTGTCACTGCCAAACAGTCACACAGCGGCTATTGCAGCTGGAAATAATGGTATTCCTGTTAGAATGCACGGCCATGAATTTGGTAAAGCAAGTGGAATGGCGCCCCGTGCCAGGTGAGGATTAATAATCTTGTAAAGTGATAGTTTTCCAGTACCAATCTTCTAGCACAATCTTTCCATAGACTTCAGATGACCGAAATTATTTGAGTTCAGGATTGCTGTGTACAAGGCTCTCTACAGGCTTTTTGGAGGCTTTGTTGCTGATGTGGTTGCTGCAATTGATCAGGTTCGTTATTATTTCGTTACTGAATCACACAAGAAGTTGGTACTACTACTATCTCCATTTCTTTTGTGATATAAACTATAAGTTAAGGGAATATAATTCATCTGTGTTTCATGCTTCTTTAATACAATCAACGCCTTAAATAATTGCATTGTCATATTTTAGTTGGCAATATATCTCTCAGTACATGGGCATTATTTTTGCTTATTGACATTTGACAAACAGTCGGTAGTTTCGATATTTTCAGTGAGTTCTGAATATCTATGTCATATGGTCAAAATATTTTGCTCTTGTTTTTTTATTTTTTTTTTATTTTTTTTTTTATTTTTTTTGTTCGACTCTCTCGGTTGATCGGTGATGAAGTGCCGTACTTCCTGCTATCAATTTGTTATGAATACATACCTCTTTGTATTTAATTTTCTATATTTAATTTTTGGTTGTGTTTTATTGGTGGTTCTATCTTTGTGCATATATTTTAAATTGAGAATACTTATGTTAACAGGCTGTTCACGATGGGGTGGATATACTCAGCCTTTCAGTAGGGCCAAACAGTCCTCCAGCAACTACCAAAACCACATATTTAAATCCTTTTGATGCCACTCTTCTTTCTGCGGTGAAAGCAGGCGTATTTGTTGCACAGGCAGCTGGTAATGGAGGTCCTTTCCCCAAAACATTGGTGTCTTATAGCCCATGGATAGCATCTGTCGCAGCTGCAATTGACGATCGCCGATACAAAAACCATCTGAATCTAGGAAATGGAAAAATTTTAGCTGGAATTGGGTTGTCCCGTAAGTTTCATCATTGTGATGTCTGTTACCTCCCTCTTCCCAAAATAAATAAATAGACAGAAGCTGTTCATAAAACTTGAGGAGAGGCATTTAATAGCACAAAGACCAGCATCATGGCTTTTCTACCTCACTTTTTATTATTTTCTTTATACTCGTGACATTGTCAATTGATGCAGCTTTTTAATATCATTTTTCTTTTATTAGATCCACTACGCCATGTATTACCTCTTTTTCCACTGAATTTAGTTCAACTGGTAATATGCCACATAGCTTTTATTGCGAGTTATATGTCCCATTCACATGGGATAACAGGTGCAGATTAATTTGGAAGTTATTAAGCTTATTTCTGTGTTCAATAGGTCTTCAGTCTCTTTGAGTAAATCTCTTCTTTGGTTGCTATCCTTTGGGTTACATACTTTTTTTCTAGTTTATCATTATTATTTATACTTTTAATTGCATGAATTCCTATTCAAAGGGTTTAGATGAATATAAGTTATATGCATTAATATCTTTACACAGTAGTATCAATCACATAGGCCAGTCAACTACCATATTGGGGTGCTGTTATATTACTGTGGTTCATCAACTTTCCATGTGGTTTCATAATTCATAGTGCTTATAAGCCATACCTTTACCAGTTTGACAGTTTCCCATTTCTTTGGAGCAAGACTATTCAGGGTCATCAGGCAAAATCATTAAACATAGGAGTACTTCTTTTTCCTTTACAATTTTATGAATAATTTTAACAGTCACCGATATAGCATATGGCCCTTGTGGAACTCATTAGTTTTGTTTGTTGAGTTGAGTTGAGCTGTGTGTTTCATGTCCATCTTGAAGCAATTTTAATAGATATCCTTTTATAAATAACATGCTTGTTGATTTGGATAGTTACATTACACACACAAACATGCACACTCATGAACATGGTGGCTGAATGATTGCCAATCACTGGCTGTTAGGTTCTTGATTCTTACTTGTTCTGCTTTTCTAAAGCTGTTTTTCTCATGGATTACCACAGCTGCTACACATCCAAATCGAACATTCACCTTGGTTGCTGCAAATGATGTTCTTCTTGATTCTTCTGTGGTTAAGTACGGTCCCTCTGACTGCCAAAGACCCGAACTATTAAACAGGAAGTTGGTTCAGGGCAACGTTCTTCTTTGTGGTTATTCCTTCAATTTCGTTGTTGGTACTGCATCAATTAAGAAAGTTTCAGAAACGGCAAAAAGCCTGGGTGCAGCTGGCTTTGTTCTTGCTGTGGAAAATGTTTCCCCTGGAACAAAATTTGATCCTGTTCCTGTTGGTATTCCTGGGATACTTATAATAGATGTCTCTAAGTCAATGGTAATTTTATCAACTCTTCTCCTCTCTTCATAGATATTTTTTATAAGTTGATCACTCTCTATTATGGATATTGGTCGCAATTCTGTGACAAGCATTGTTAATATTGCTAAGTCAGTTATTACACTCTTCCAGGAGGCCAGTATCTTTAATATATTTCAATCTGCCTTTGATGATGCCATATAAACTCCTGATCAAACAGGCATAAGGCTGGCATGAGCTTTTCTCATGTAAAAAGCGAGCTGAATCAAAACAATAAATTTTTAAAGAGCAGAAAACCTGCAGTTAGACTAGTCTTCCTGTTCCATTCAACTTCACTTTTGGAATGTCTCGGTTGTATTTTAGCTTAACCCAATCAAATAACGAGAACCTGTCACCATATTAGTTTGTTGCTCTTCTGAGCGCCTTTTGGTCTTGGTGCACTGCACCATGCTCTCCCCCCTTTCACTTTTCATTTGTCTGGCTTATGTTTTTCCTGAGTCTCATGTTTTTGGTTCTTGGAAATCTTTATTCTAGGATCTTATAGACTACTACAACACTTCGACATCAAGAGACTGGACTGGAAGAGTGAGGAGTTTCAAAGCTACTGGTACTATTGGGGATGGTTTGATGCCTATTCTTCATAAATCAGCACCGCAGGTAGCATTATTCTCTGCTAGGGGGCCCAATATCAAGGATTTCAGTTTCCAAGATGCAGATCTTCTCAAGCCAGATATTCTGGCACCTGGTTCTCTTATTTGGGCTGCTTGGTCTCCAAATGGAACGGATGAAGTTAATTTCGTTGGTAAGATGGATCCAATTCTAATTAATTCTTGTATTCTTGGCTATCAAACGTAAGAACTTAAAAAGCATATTAGTGAAAGAGGATTTTGTTACACTTGGACAAAAACTCTTAAATTTTAAGCAATTGTCTGCTTTGACTTTTGAGCAGGAGAAAGTTTTGCCTTGGTCTCTGGAACTAGCATGGCTGCACCACATATAGCTGGTATAGCTGCTCTTATAAAGCAGAAGCACCCTCATTGGAGCCCTGCCGCTATAAAATCAGCCTTGATGACGACAACAACAAAGCTGGACAGAGCTGGAAGGCCTCTTCAAGCACAACAATATTCTGAAACAGAAGCCATGAAGCTGGTTAAAGCTACACCTTTTGATTATGGGACTGGTCATGTCAATCCTAGAGCGGCCCTGGATCCTGGACTTGTCTTTGATGCAGGTTTTATTCTTCTTCCCTTTTATGCAATTTCTGATTGGTCTACCGGATGCAAGTTAAGGCCCACATAAACCTAACAATATATGGTTCCTCTAAACTAAGGAAGGCAAGTGATGGGATAAACTGAATTTGATTTTAACACGTTAAACAGTAGATTGATTTAGCTATTGGTTTGTGGCTAAACACTTAAGGTGTTTGTCTATGTCATTAAGTATCAAGTCAGTAGGCTGCTTCAAGGGCGGGATTAGTCATAGCACCAATAATAATGACAAACAATAATAACTAATAAGAAATAAAGAGGACTATTAAACCATTTGTAATTGAAAAACTTCGGGTTCTGAAATGTGCTTCAAATGTTACTGTCTTTTAAGTGTGGATGTAATTTAGAAGATGACAAAGGGCTTGGATATTGAAAATAGTGACTAGGCACATTGCCAAAACGACCTGATAGAAGAGTAAACTAGAATAGGAACAGTAAGGAAATACATTGGGAACATTTTCTGTTAGCAATTATTTAACCTCTATTTTATTTGTAAGTAGGTATTGGATTTAATTAGCATCCAGGCTGCTTTTTTAGCGATTCCTTAAGCTTTACACCTTGGATACTTGATAACTTAAACCAGGTGACAACATCAACTTTAACATTATATTAGTGAAACAGTGTAAGCTTGTTTATTAGATCCTTTATAATTATGATGAGGAATGCTCTAGAGTTTCCAGTGATCATTCTGGCAAATCATCTTGCAAATATGTCAATCAACTTCTAAAGCCCAGGAATATTTTTCGTAGGTTATGAGGATTACTTGGGGTTCTTGTGCACAACACCTGGTATCAACAAAAATGAGATAAAGAACTACACGAATTTACCCTGCAACTACACCATGGGCCAGCCATCAAATCTCAACACTCCATCGATCACCGTATCTCATCTTGTGAAGTCTCAAACAGTTACTCGCACAGTCACAAACGTCGCAGAGGAAGAAACCTATGTGATCACTGCCAGAATGCAACCATCCGTTGCCATCGATGTCAACCCTCCAGCAATGACGCTGAAACCTGGTGCATCGCGTAAGTTCTCTGTGACACTCACTGTTAGAACAGTGACTGGAACATACAGTTTCGGAGAAATTTTCATGAAAGGTAGTCGAGGGCATAAGGTAAAGATCCCAGTTATAGCTCAGGGATATTGGCGATAGAGATCGAGATGGAGATTGAGATGGAGGAGGTTGATGTTAGTTGAGTACTTTGTATGCTTGTAATATTCTTTGTAATCTGTGGCAATAAGATAAGATATAAGGCAAAATATAATATTTGTCTGAAATATATATGTGGAGTAGGTGTAAAGATAAAACTAGTATAAGGGGGAGACTCCCAGTTTCTTCCACTCATAAGTTTTGCTAATGAGATTAGTGATTTTATATAAATCTGCTTTCAATATGGTGTTTGCAGAATTCTTCTTTATTTCAAATTTTCAATTATATCTTTGTTGGGAGCCTTTTTATTTAGCCTGTGCTGAATTCACTGGCAATTTGGTTTTTTGTTATGCCACTTTGAAAACCAATTCAGAATGAAAATAGTAATCCAAAAATAAGAACCAAAAAGAGAAAATTTAAATTTAAAATCTAGCGAAATCCCCACTTTCTTCTCTTATATGAGAGAAACCAAGTATACAAGATATTGCATTTTCCAAAATTTCATCATCTTTGATTTCATTTTTTTGACCTATCAAGTGTTTTTTTCAACACCCAAATGCTGATAAAATATTTGATTTTGTTATGAAAATTAGTGATTATGATCATTAACATGAGCTCTAACCAGTTGTACAATCGTTGAAAGTTGTGCTTGTTAATGTTTTTGGAATTTTCGCCTTGCCCAATAGTAACGAAGCTGTAGATTAAATTCAAGGGCATGACATGAAGATACATTGCCATAAGCCTCTCAATTGATCATCAAACTTAGCAAAATATAAACACCATCCTAATATCGTTGTAAAGTTATAAAATAAACTACCTTTGAATAGTCGAGTGATTTGATAAAGACTCTTAGATGTATTATTCAAGAGATTTTGAATTCGAATCTCTTTTTAAATGTTAATAGGGGTAATCATTAAAACTCTTACTCAATCGTTGATAATTTTAGAGTCTTAAAAAATTAATTGAAGTACGTATAAACTTATTCGAAAATCCTTCATCATTAAAAGGAAAAAAGAAAAAGAAAAAAAAGGGTAACATCCAAGAATCTCGAACACTCAAATTGCTTACAAACTCTTGACTACTTTGACACGTGTGTAACTTTATAGACCACCTTTGAACAGAGCACGATTCTAAAGACAAGACACAAACGTCATTTAACTTTCAATGACCTGTGACTGCAAATAGTCTAAATTGTAGTTTCTGGAGTTGAGTGTAATTTGTTCTAGTTATAGAATGTTAAGTGTGAGTCACCCTTTCTAAAAGTTTACTTCTAGCTGCACATACTTGTGCTTGCAATATCAAAGCCTTACTCTCATCATAAAAAGGTTCACTCACTTATTTTCTCGTGCCCACGGAGTCCAACAAACAAATTGTTGAGTGCTGGGTTCTGTTATTATTTTTAATTGCAGACTTTAAACTTTATGTCTGTGCTAAATGTTTATATTTAGTACTTAGAAGGCAAATTGTTTTGGCGGGTTATTTTTTATAGACACTTATACAATGCATGCCATGTGTTTGATTAAATGTTTCAATCAATTCAGTTTATCAACTTTTTCGTGTTGTGTATTACCTGTTTGACAAAATGTCCCAACAAACAATGGGGCTTCACATGTCTGGCTGAATCAGAAATTTCAAAAAAAAAAATTCAGAAGTATGAATCGCTACTCATTTCTTAACAATTTATACCCATTTCCGCATTTGATACAGGTAGCGGGATAATTGAGAAGTTGGAATTTAATGGAGGAGCCAACATTTTTCAATAGAATGATCACTCATCTTCGCACAACCTGCAAGTATGAACAGTACTTTATTTCCGCTATCTTTTATTTTTTTAGTGCTATTAAAGTATCCTTTTATGTGAAATATTTCCACATTTTTTTTTAGTTGAATAATGTACCAGTTATTAGTTGAGTTTTTCATAAGTAATATAGCAGGGAAGTTCTTTTCTTCTATTTTTGATAACATGTTTTGAGCTGGAAAACGACATGCCTGAATGATAGTCAAATATTATGCTATATTCCTGAAAATGATTATAAATTTTTACCTTTTGCAATAAATCCCGTGTTATAATAGTTTTGTGTTGTTCTAGTATTCAAAATATTGTATTACATGCTCCTAGAATTATTCATGTAATTTTTTTTGTTTTTTCCATTTTAAACTTTGCTGGCATATAAATTTTAAATTTAATCTTCCTGTAAAAATTGAAACGGTGGTGTTGTATGCAACCTCTTTTAGAATATTTATTTTCTTGGACATCGTTAGCTTTTTATCTTCTATAATTTTTTATAGTTCTATATAAATTGACATGTTATTTTTGAAAATTAAAGGTATTATACTGGTTATCCGAAAGATCTTGGGCCGTCGCGTGTTATTCATTTTACATCAGAGCGTGAATTTGTTCAACTCCTTCATCAAGGCTATCCTGTGGTTGTTGCATTTACCATTAGGTGATTTGGAATTAATTAACCTTCCTTTACCATCTTTTATTTTTCTAATAAACACATAACACTGTGGATGTAACTGATCATTTTAATTAATCAGGGGTAACTACACCAAACATCTTGATCGAGTTTTGGAGGAAGCTGCTTCTGAGTATTATCCACATGTAAAATTTATGCGTGTAAGTTGTTTATGATTTTATCATCTTCTGAAAGAGAGAGGTATTATTTTATAACATGATATAGATCTTGAAGAGTGCTATATATATTGTGTACTCCTCAATAATTGGAGTGAGTCACGGAGCCACATTCTTCAGTATGAAATTGGATTAGAAAAGAGGAAATAGATGTGTGTGAGGATTTTTCAATTGTATGATTTATGTAATCAAGTAATTTTGTGTGCACTGTATACATTTAAAGTTGTTTCACTGAAGCATATGATTTTTCATTTTCACATGCTATAGGACCCCCTCATCTCGTCTTTCACTTGTCAAGCAATGCTAGATATTTTATGAACACTTATAATTCTCATCCTCTTCAGCTTATTTTAGCATTTTTAACTAGTTTCATATAATCTTTGGTTTGGTGTTGGTTTGTTTCAGGTTGAGTGTCCAAAGTATCCCGGATTCTGTCTAACACGACAGAGAAAGGAATATCCATTTGTTGAGATATTTCACAGTCCAGAACAAGTATTGTAACTCTTACTTTTATTAGAATCTTCAGGTCTTTCCTTTCTTATTTTACTTATCCATGCCTTCATCAACTGCCTACATGTTAAAAACAATACAAACTTGTGGGTTGAGAATGAAGGAATTATTCTTCATAAAGTGCATAAATTTATAACTTGAAACTTTAGCAACAATGTTTACACTCATCTTAGATATATTTTATTATAGCCGGTGTTGGAATTCTAGCTCCTGTTTTAAGCGCGCATAGGATTAGTGGCTATTACTAGATGATTATTTTCTAGTGAACATGGTATGTATTTCAATTGGGTTAATTTACAGATTTTTCTTAGAATGATAAATTACTAGTGACGATTATTCTGTACAAAATGGTTGGTTAGCAACTTGATGCTCATTGGTATTATGGAAGGTTTTGGTGACTATACAAGTAGTGTAAGTATTGATGCGAGGAAGGCAGTCTTAAGGACATTGTGGGTGAATGTGTTTCTAATAATAGCAATGATTATCATGGGGGGTGAGTCATGTTGTATGCAATAATGAGAGAGGTGACTTAGGAGTTAGTGATGTCTCTATATCCTTGTGATGGTGTTATATGAGAGGAATGATAAGGAGTTTAAGTGAAATTTTCTCTTCTTTCCATATATAATGCAACTGTATGCAATTCATTCAGATTGTCCCTTGTGGATTTTGCTACCAACTTGTCATCTTAAAATTCTGTGCCATTTTAGTTCCTTCTTGATATGCTCTGAAGCTTCTGTCAATAATGTATATGCGTTTGCAGGCATCTAACCAAGGAAAGGGTGCTGATCCAAATGTGACGAAATACTCTGTAAAAGTTCTACCAGTAAGTTCCAGATTATATTTTTACTTTACTTACGGATTTCTGTTGCGTTCATTTACATTTGCTGCTTTTTGACCCAAGATTGTGCCTTTGTGGTGATGCTGCTCCTTTTAACATGCATAAAGAACATGCTTCGGCAATGTTAGAGCTAGTTTGTGCTTTTTTAGTTAAAAGAATTCCTTGAAGCAGTTTTATGAATTCTGTTTTATTTTTATGAGCAAATTTTATTAAACCTCATTTTATTTTTGGATAAAATATTGATAGACCTCTTTCATTTTAAGATTCATTTAAAAAAAAAAATTCCAGTGGAAATTCTGAATTATCATAAATGTCTTCTGAAATCGTCCCAATGATACCTTAAAATCTCATAAAAATCTATTCGAAACTTCTTTTACTTTGAAGATTTCTGCGTATTGTTCAAATTGTACTAGTCTTCCCGTAATTATCAAACTCCTCAATGAAAGTCGATAAAGTTTTTCTCCTTTTTTTATTTCATTCCAATGTAATAACTTATTTATTTTGTTCTGAATATTCAGTTCAATTACGACCTCAGTTGCTATGGATTTAGAGAATTTTTCAAGCGGCATGGAATACGATCGACAGATCCTCAGTAAGAGTTTGGTGGGAAGAGTTAAGCTTGGTGTTTTTATGGCTTAAGTCCATAGCTTGTTTAGTTGATTATAACATAAAGTGTTGTAAAAAATCAAAGTCTGGTTGATGCATATCTATGCTTTTATTAGTTTTGCTCTAAGTAATAACATCTGGCTCTCCCATGCATTTTTGTGTTACTTCATCACTTCGAATATACCATTCTCATCACAGTAGTTCTTCAACAAGATAAATATTTTATTTATTTATTATGAATCATAAGGAAAATATTAATTTATATTATTTTTAGTAATAAAAATTATGTCATAATTAGTAGTATAAATAGTTCCAAAATTAATTATATTTGACCCAATATTTAATTTTAATTCTTACTTCTTCGGCTGATAGCATGTATTATTCGATGGCTACCGCTGTGGGTGTGCAAACCCAAGCCCAACCGAAAATTTGTGGTAGAGTAACGCCATGGTAAGGCATTAAGTCATCTGTTTAAATCCGGTAAGGGGTTTTGGCCTTTTTCATTTAAAAACAAAAAAAAAAGCGCTAATATTCATATTTAAATGAGAAATAGAGATATTGTTGATATTTTTTAGTAATAAATAAAAAATAACCAACCATACATATGATAATGTAATCCTAAACTGCATAATTTAGATTGAGTTCGAAACTTCTAATATAGTCATTAGAATAGAAATTTCTAGTTATAAAAAGGAAGTTGAATATTTGTCTATTATGCTGAGTGATGATATGTATGAGTAATGATAAATGATAAGTAGTCTCTTCAATCGCTAAATGTCTTCGTTTTTCATCATTCCAGTCAAATCCATTTTAAAGATTAGAAAACAACAAAAAATTATATGATTATTTGATCATTAATTTTAAGATTTTAGAGAATTAGTTGAAGTATATGTAAACTGGTCCAAACACATCTAATTATCTATAAAAAAAAAAAAAAAAAGATAATAAGTGGACCAAAGCCATTGAATTACATTTGTATCCACTATTCAAATGTTAAAATTTAAAATTCGATGAATATGAAATTGGAAAAATTCAAACTTAAAGATACTAAAATGCAAAACGGAATATGGACCACAAGACCTATCCCGTATTGAAAGCTTGGTTCAGGATTGGAGGACTAGTTGAGATGCACGTAAGCTGACTCGAACACTTCCCGATAATAAAAAATAAAAAAATGATAAAAAATAAATAGATTGATCTGAGTACACTCTTCAACCCGAAAAACTTAAAAATAATGTGATAATAACATTTCGAATAAATTTATCATGAATTAATCTATTATATGTACTTATTATGTAATTCTTGAAGTCAATAAATGATACATTTGGATTTTTAATCAAAATTTTAAAAACTTTTTTCTAGAAAAATTAGTTGTATTAAAAAATAAAATTCTTCAATGGTACGTAATATAAACTTGACAAAGATGAAAAATAAATAAATAAATTCTATCAAACTTAAACTCATTAACCCGAATCAAACCAAACCGATTTAAATTGATTTAGGTTTCTAATAAATTAGAGTTAATTTATATGTTTCTTCATTTTGGACCCAAAAATATTTACTTCTGTCGGGATTGCTAAAACCCGAACGAAACGGAGAACAAAATAAGTCAAGGCATCATCTAAATGCTACCTGAAACAATTTGCTCGGTTCTGCAACACTGCTCCAAAATCAAAGCATTTCGTCAAGGGTTTTCCCTTCATGCCGCTGTTTTTAAAACAGGCATTCAATCTGATGTATTCTTATCCAACCATCTTCTCAACATGTACGCTAAGTGTGGCAAAATTTCATTTGCCCGGCACTTGTTCGACGAAATGTCTGAGAGAAATCTCGTTTCTTGGTCAGCTATGATTTCTGGGTATGCCCAGTTTGGGGATCATCTATTAGCTCTCAAACTCTTTTCAAAAATGCAACTTATGCCTAATGACTACATTTTTGCCAGTGCCTTAAGCGCCTGCGCGAGCCTTCAGGCTGCGGCGCTTGGGCGGGAAATTCACGCTCAAGCGGTGAAGCTGGGGTATGCTTCTATCTGTTTTGTTTTCAATTCGATTATGTCAATGTACATGAAATGTGGTCATTGTTGTGATGCTTTGTTGGTTTTTGATGAAGCGTTGGAGCCGAATTCTGTTTCTTATAATGCTTTGATTACTGGGTTTGTGGAAAACAAAGAGTATGAGAAAGGATTGGAAATTTTTAAACTTATGCACGAGAAAGGACTTGTGCCGGATTGGTTTACGTTTGCTGGAGTGTTGGAGAGTTGCGTAAATATGAATGATTTGCGTTGGGGAATGGTGGTGCATTGTCAAACGTTGAAGCTTAAACTTGATTCCACTGCTTTTGTTGGCAATGTGATAATGACAATGTACTCGAAATTTGATTTGATGAAAGAAGCGGAGAATGTCTTTAGACTGATTGAAGAGAAAGATGTTATTTCGTGGAACAGCTTTATAGCTGGTTGCTCTCACTGTATGGATCATGAAAAGGGTTTAAGAGTTTTCAAAGAGATGTCAAATGAGTATATTGTGAGGCCTGATGAGTTTACTTTTACTAGTGCTCTTGCTGCCTGTGCTGGGCTTGCTTCAATTCGCCATGGCAGGCAGATCCATGGTCATCTAGTCAGGGCCAGGCTCAATCAAGATGTGGGAGTTGGTAATGCGCTTGTGAACATGTATGCTAAATGTGGTTCAATTGGCTATGCATACAAGGTATTTGACCAGATGCTTCACCGCAATCTTGTCTCATGGAACACCATCATTACTGCATATGGTAATCATGGACTGGGAGAGATGGCCCTAGAACTTTTTGAGCAGATGAAAGCATTGGGGGTGAATCCAGATTCAGTTACCTTCATTGGACTTTTAATGGCTTGCAATCATGCAGGGCTTGTGGAGAAGGGCGAGTTTTACTTCAGTTCTATGGAAAGAATCTCCAGGATTGCCCCTGATATAGAGCATTTTTCTTGTCTTATTGATTTGTTGGGACGAGCAGGGAAACTGCAGGAAGCCGAGGAGTACATGAAAAAATCTCCTTTTGGCCAAAATCCAGTAGTTTTAGGGAGCTTGCTTTCTGCTTGTCGACTGCATGGAGATGTCATCATTGGGAAACGTTTAGCTGAGCAGCTATTAAAACTTCAACCTGTGACTACTTCGCCTTATGTTCTACTGTCCCACATGTATGCTTCAGATGCAATGTGGAGTGATGTTGCGGAGGTAAGGAAGATGTTGAAGGGTAGTGGGCTAAAGAAGGAGCCTGCCCATAGTATGATTGAAGTGAAGGGAAATTTTGAAAAATTTACAGTAGGGAAATTTTCTCATGCAAGGATTGGAGAGATAAAGTGTATGCTCAACATTATAGGTTGGGCAGCAGCTGAAGTTTCTTTAAAGGATATACTTAGTTGAAGATTTTCTAAAAGCCTTTAAATATGCTATTATGTTCCTCTTATCTCAGGAAAATAAGTGTAGAGGAGGAGCCTTTTTTAACGCTACTCTTAGGTCCTTGTCCAAAAATTACCATGTCAAGTTAAAACCTTGACAATAGTTTTAAATTTAATGAGAGGATATTCTGCACTAAACAAGAGTGAGAAATATTGGTTTAATCAGATGGCATTTTGAGTGTTAAATTGTGTTGGGCCTGCTGGCATTTGCTAAAATATTACCAACATTGAGGAAGCATGAGCATTTGAAGAAGCTGGAAATAGAGGTATGATTTATAATGATTTTTTTCATCATGGTTATGAAATAATAAGGGATGTCAACTAAGGCTATTGGTTTTGCTGTTAGAATTATATTGCCATCAGTTTAAATAAAATGTCAAAACTTGATATATTAAACATATATGTTTATGCTTAGCAATGGCCGCATGTAAAGCAAGTCTCTATTCTTTTCTTCTCTCTTTTTTTTTTTTCCCCTTTTCCTGATTTTGAAATATATAATAAGAAATTTTTATCCGACTTTGTTTAAGCATCAAGCACTTCAAATGCTACTGCCAGAAGCTGAGATATTGAGTGGAAACAACAAAAGATGCTAAGGAATTTGGAATCGAGAGGGACCGAGTATATCAGGCTGCAATCTGAACTTATGACTTTTACGCAACTAACCATAATTGGAAAAGGTGCCTTTGGAGAGGTATACTTTGTTGAACAATTCGCTCATTTTCATGTGAAGCCGGTAAACCGCTCTAGTAATAGCATAATCTCTTTATAAGTTAGGTGAAGTTTACTTTATAGTGCCTAATGGCCTATGGAGGAAAGCATTGAATATTTATATTGAAATATGACACATTCCAATATTGTGCTTAAGGTAAGTAGGAGATTTTCGCCGTGAAATTGAAATAATTCAGAATGCCTAACCTTGCCGTGGAGAGATGTCACCGTGATAGATGTTCTATCTAAATTCAAAATGATGTTTCCTCCTAGTATGATCTATGCTTTCCTTAAAGTTACTTTTCTTTCTTTTTTCTAGATATTTATTTCATGGTATGTTGTTTTTCGATTTTGTTTTGTTTCCAAACTTTTGGTCTAATTGTCGTTAGTTCTTTTTTTTTCTTCTTCTTCTTTCTTTTTTTTAGCAAATGATTTATATTTGTTGGTCTTAAAAGAATCAAATGAGACTTATAGTTTTTCTCTCATTGATCTCTTATTTTCTTTTAATTTCTGCAGGAAATGGGTTGTATTTCTGCAAGATTTCCCAGCATGTGGTAGCATTGGGTCCAGCTCGACAACTTTTTAGGCATTNATCTAAATTCAAAATGATGTTTCCTCCTAGTATGATCTATGCTTTCCTTAAAGTTACTTTTCTTTCTTTTTTCTAGATATTTATTTCATGGTATGTTGTTTTTCGATTTTGTTTTGTTTCCAAACTTTTGGTCTAATTGTCGTTAGTTCTTTTTTTTTTTTTTTTTTTTTTTTTTTTTTTTGCAAATGATTTATATTTGTTGGTCTTAAAAGAATCAAATGAGACTTATAGTTTTTCTCTCATTGATCTCTTATTTTCTTTTAATTTCTGCAGGAAATGGGTTGTATTTCTGCAAGATTTCCCAGCATGTGGTAGCATTGGGTCCAGCTCGACAACTTTTTAGGCATTGGAAAATTGGAAAAATTTGATTGCACAGATCTTCATTAAATTCATTGTGAGTATTCACTATTTATCTACTAAATGGTGGGTAGCATGTGGAAAGCTATATTTATTTAGGATTGTAAATGGTGGTTAACAATGAGAGCCTTGTTTTCATTTCTTATATAGAACATAAAAACAGTGGGAGCCTTGGCCATTCAAATTTGATAGTTGCTGCAATATAAGTTTTTTTTATATTTCATTATAGTTGCATTGGCCTTTCTAATTCTAATGGAATAAGCAGTTCTTTCTCTAGAATTATGCATGTATCTATGACTCATAAGTTCTGTTACAATTTTACATAATGAGAATAACTCTGAATAGGACTTGTTGCTAATTTCAGAAGGATTGCTTAACATTTACCTTGGAGCTTAAGGATTGGCATAACGCCCTCAAACTATGAATTTGGAGTAACTTTGTGGATTTCAAATTCGGATAAAATGATATTATTTCTTACAGTTACAAAAAGACTGAATAAGATGAAAGAATTTGAGACAAGGTTTTGTAAAGAGATAGGATATTAGTTTTTGACATAAGTTTGGAATGTCATCTTTTATTGGAGGTATTAGATAAGAGGCTTCAAATAACCAATCCCTTGTGTATAAATGTCAATAAAATTAAAGCTCAAACTTTGGGGAAGAGAGTGTTTAGATAGAAAAGTCTCTTTAGAGTTGCACTGGAGGCATCTAATACTTGAGAACAAAATTGGAGAAAAAACTTTAGAAAAAGTTTCAAGATCAATTTGGTTTGTATTCTTGATTTAAAATCTGTCCTGACTATGAAAAGGAGTTAGAAAGCCTAAGAGTTATGTTATATCTAGAATTTTATGGAGATGATTTTGCATAGCAGTGTGTGATTTCGGAAATTATCAGAAAAGTTCAACTCTGATTTGTACATCACGATGACTTAAAGAAGGATATTTTTGCAATTGAATAATTTCCTCGGGAGCGAAAATCGTTCTTTTAAGCCAGTACACCAAGCACCTTGGTTTTTTGTTATTTGTTACTTGTACATCGCTTCTGGGTTACTGGTTGGTTTGCTGCTGTGTTTGGTTTGTCACATTTTTAACTTTGATTTGCTACTCATTTTTCAACATCAACTCAGCAATGAATGTTATGACATTTATGTTGTTAAGCTCGATGTTTCAACATACAGAATTAACTCAGCGATGAATGTTAAGTTGGAATTTGTAAATACATAAATTACTACTTATTTAAGGATTTAGCTTCTTGGGGATAATGTTATCGGTTATCCTCCATTGTAGTCCTTGACTAAAGGGTTGCCAAGATGTTCCCTACGACATAGCGGGTTTATGAAGGGACAGCATGAGTTCCCGATTCCACAGGAATGACACAGCGGGTTTACGAAAGGACAACGCAAGTTCCCGACCTGTGGAAGGTATTCTCACATAGCGATGGAGGATTCTGAAACATGGCGTTAGGTCCTGGAAGGATCCAAAACATAGTAGAAGGCTCTGGGAGGCTGTGTAATGTTGTAGAAGCCCTTGGAAGAACATGGCTCTAGAGTGACCTAACGCCATTACCTTCTTGTAAGGTGGTTCACCCTTATTAAAGTAAAAAATACTGTGTCTGAAATCAAGAGTTGTAGTTGCACGTAGAGTTATTTTGATTTTGCAAATGAGAAATGCCCATATTTTGTTCTTTAGGCACTTAGCTTAATTTCTGGGCAAGCAGCGCAACTGTTATTGTTTTTGATGGGCCAAAATGATTAATGAAACCCAACTCAAACACCAAGTAGCTAAATGAAATGTTATTTATTAAATAAAAATATGGATAACAAATTCATGTAATTATTCAAACTTAAAAATACAATTTTTTTTTTTTTAATGCATAATGTACTCTCATCATTTAAATTTTATTTGTTTTAAATGGATGTTTGATTCATCAATAAATTATAAAAAGAACTTGGATTACACATTATACAAGAAATATATTTTATTCATATGGTTGCCATTATAAGGTCTACCATCCACTTATTGTTTCCAATTTCTGCGTGTGCGGAGGATTACCTCCCCGGATATTTTTTTCTTTAAGTTACTTATTGTTTCCATTTTTGCGTGTGCGGAGGATTACCTCCCCTCGGATATTGGCTCCTCTAAGTTTTGGTTATGTTAACTTTCTCTATTTCATATGTTATGTTTTGTTTCACTGTTTATTCACTTGTGTTTCTATGTAATTTTCGGGTCTTGTGTATCTTTACCGTTTGAGGTGATATTACACATCCAAGAGGTTGAACTTACGTCCATGGAATCCTCTTCAGCTTTATCTACTTTTACTGCTCCCATAAATACTAGTTTATCTAGATCTTCTTCTAAAGTAGACAGTCTGTATGAAATATCTTATATCCCAGAAAACAAAAAATCCAAGACACTATTCCCCCCATTGTAAATCCTTACACCGCCTTTTCCAAGTCTCCGTCTTCTTTGTCTAAAACCTTTAAAACTCTTGTACGTCCTTCCAGAAAGCCAGTTAAGAGTATGTCCAGACTAGTACATTTGACAAGTGTCAATTCCAGCCACATCCCAAGAACAATATGTTACTTTAGAAATCCCTCAAGAATCCATTACTCAATGGATCCGTGAAGGATACTCTCATGTGCACTTTGGCGCTATCCCTCGCTCTCTCTTATCATGGCAGAAAAGGACTTCCTGTCTCAGTTCGAATTGCTTTATTGGACACCAGATTTGTCCAATATCAACATGCTTGTATCGACAGCACAGACAACTTTGAATGCGGGGACAGTCATCATGACACTGTTTCCCAATTTCAATATGTCTCTCTCTGATGTTCATTGCTCTAAGGCTCTTAAAGTTCAATTACAGATTGTTGGTGCAGATTTAAACCAGGAATGTATGCAGCTACTTTGCATTATCAAATGGTTTGGCGAATCCAAGACCATGCTCTTGATCTCGATATCCCTACGACTACTGATGCACTACTTCTCACTGTTGACTCTCAGAATACTCCTCACTGCATCAATATTCCCAGGCAAATTTCCAAGATGATTTGATTAAATTGTTACCCGACTCTTGGGTGACGAGTTACAGTTCTTAACAAAAAAGAGACTCCGGTGGTTTCTAACGAATCTACCATGCATGACAACAGTGACGGAACAACAACTATCAGATTTAAGTCTCCAGCAACCCCAGTGCTCCACCTTTGAGTTTTCGACAAACTCAATTCATGATTACTCCGGTCAGACCCACTACCCAGTACGGACTTGGACTTTCGATTCATTTTTTTCAACAATCTGGTGCTCCTGTCTACCATCAATGATCCAGTCACTGGTCACACTCCATTTGATCTTGACTGCCAATGCTCAAATGCCGTGATGATCCTATTTGGGAAATCGTGAGCATTATCTTCCAAGACGAACCTATTTCAACAAGAAAAAGAAGAAAGCTCGCTGCAGTCAGACAGATCTTCATTCCCGCTTTGAAGAACATGATCCGGAAGTTGGTCTTCTTGGTCAACCATCTGGTAAATTTGACTATTATGTCAAATATTCTCCACCATCCAGTAATCCCTCATGGGACATCCCTCCGAAACCTCAACCTAAATCACCTTTAAAACTATCCAAACTTACAAAATCACCTTCTATCAACAAACCTTTACCATGTATCAACAGTCTCTGCGGTGGATTGCCAAAGAACATAAACCAACCCATTCACCCTTGCTCATATCCACCTGTTCAGTCCGTCATGATGATCCAATCCCCTGAGCCCACAAAGACAGAACAACATTCCAATTATGACACAGATTTTCCTTCCTTCAAGAAACTGCCACTCAACACCAAAAGTGGTTCCTTCCAAAGTTATACAACCTGATGGATCCACGCCCAACTCTCCCAAGCTGAAGCAGTTCTCAATTGGCAAACTGAAAATGCTTTAGCCCAAAACAAAACCATGACTAGCTTGAACAAAAACTGGATTTAGTACTCATCAGGTGGACTCTCATCTCAAACCAAACTCTGCTGATTTCTCGGCTACAAAAGCATTTGATCATCTCCAAAACCGATTGATCAGCTCCATCAGATTAATGCATATTGTCAGTAGCTCTCATGGCTATCAGCTCAGTTTCTTCAGAAGGAAGCAGAAATGAAGTCATTAAAAACCCAAATGGCATCGCTTCAGCGGAATATTTTAAGCAAAACTCAACAGACAACCACAGACTTTTCCTGAAATGTCATTGGTACCAAACCCTTTCGATTCCACACAGCATGGCCACAACCCTCTTTTTCCCCTTTCCCAAATTAGCCAACCGTTAGTCTCACCTCATATCCCTTCTGGTGCTGTTCAAGCTTTTGGCACACTGAATTATAGCCAGCTCCGTAAAGAACGTGATGAAAGATCAAGCTGGAACGAGAACAAAAGAAGAGAGAAAAGTATTCTGCTAACCCGCGGATCCCATCCGCTGATATTCCTGACTCTTTCTCTTCCAGTCACTCAGATCCTCCATCTCCTAAGCCTCAGCGTCTTTTATCTAAGGATAAGGCTCCAATGCACATAATGATGATGGAAAACCGCCAACCTTCTGCTAATCCTGACTCGTCCGAAAATCCTGTCTCCTCCATTTTATGAGCTCTTTTTTGCGAGACATGGCAGAAAGGCAACGTCTACCGCTTCGGGTCTTTCTGAGGATTCTCTATCAACCTTCCAAACAGAATCAATACGAAGCCACTATACCTTCACCTGATGAATCATTTGAAAGTGAATTTGACTCTGACAGTGATACTTCTGATCAACATCCTCATGTTTATCCCCAACTGATGACCCATCAACCTGAATCGTCCAGACCACCTGTTGTTTCTGAGATCGATGATGAGATGCCTGAAGGTGATGACTCCATTCCAGACTCTCCGCCTATGATCGACAATCTCGTCATACTCCGGCTGAACGTGACTCTTATACAACTTCAGCAAAGCTCCACACTTTTACTGTCGATGATCTTCCTCCACCAAATGGAGAGCTCGAATGTATGAATTTCAGGCCTGGTTACAAGCTGAAATGCTAAAACCTAATGCCCAAGTCTCTACTGTACTTACGCAGTTTACAGCTAGATTTGGAGGCATTCTCCGTGATTGGTGGATAAGTCTTCAGGAGTATAGACAAAATTTGTTCATCCAAATGCCAGATATCAACCAAGCCCTGTATC